AGTAGCTTGATTTTTTTTAAAAAGATCTAGGGTTTTTATTTTTTTTCAATAAATTATTGTTGTTCTATTCCACAGCGTTGTCTCTATTATTTACTTTGTCGGTTCGTTGAGTTATTGTTGGAAAATCGCTTTTCGTGAGTATTTCTATAAAATAAACCAGATTACCGTTAAAATAAAACAACGGATCACTATACTGTAGTCGCTCGAGTAGCATGAGATTTTTTTTGAGTTAGACACTTGAAATTTTTTTCACGTTCGTAACCTCGGTATCACAGAATGCGTTATAATACAATTACATACAATATAGGTAGATAAATGTTTTTGAGAGAAATTGTTTTTAAATGAGTAATTGGGATATTTTATATCATATTAAAAAATAATCCGTGATTAGAAGAATAATTAGCATAATAACAAATGTAAATGAAATCATAGTCGCTATATTTATGATTTGAAACGTATTCATTGTACGCAATAAACCTGTAAGTATTGTGTACACTTATGATTTATCTCCTAAATATTTATTGAAAAATAATATATATTCAATTTCGCGAGAACAAATAAGTGTAAATGTAAATTATGTGGAATAATTTATTTATTTTAAAGAAAAGCTATACTTAGTATAGCGATGATAATTTGATTTGGGACTAACTAGCCACCGACGTAATAATGGCATATACTTTTTGATCCAATCTCAAATTAAATGTTACAATTTTTGTATTCATGTTTTCAAACTTCAAAGGCATACAGCAAAATAATTTGTTCCGCTTTATTTCCTGTCATGAATGATTATACAGTAGTTCCCCATACCGGAAACACTATCACTTTTCAATACGTCCACTACATCAACGAGTAAAACACACATTGATTATAAATGTAAAGTTGCAGTTTCAATTGTTCACTGTAGTCCTGGACCAGTAGTATACCATGCAGAATAGATTAATTTGGATCTAGCTGAATTAATAACGTTCGAATTAAATTGAAACATAAATCAGAGGAGTAGATTTTGATGCTGAGAGTCGTGGAAATCTGATAAAACAACATTACTCAAATTCGAAACCATCGATAAATCTACAACGATGTTGATTCCTTATCGCGTATGGTTCTGAAACGTTTTCGCAGCGTTCGATTGTGTTGTACACTCCGCAGTTTAAATATCAATGCACACCGAACTTT